GGAAGTTTACACTAATGAGAACTACATATGAGATGAGCTTGGGCACAAACTTGAGTGAGTCATCAACTAATTTATCTTGATGTAGAGCCTAAACCACAGTCAGATGAGATGCATACCTACACTGTATAGACGTTGACAATACCCGGTAAAACTTCACTATCAATGGTCCATTGCCGAAAAATGTCGGCCGGCACACTCCCGGTAGCTAAAGGTGAAGTATCATCGGCGGCTCCCCTAACTGCCACGTGAATGATGCATTGTTAGTCCGGCTTGACACGGAAAGGCCCCGGACCAGCCACCTTGAAGCGGCATCTCATTTAGAAGCGGTGAGATAACGCCGGGCTCGCTCATCCTTCAATTCTCTATAGTCTAGATTGACAACCTTTTTTTCTTATCGAGTTATTTGCAATACTGGTATTCATTGCTTCTGCCAAGGATCGGTGACAGGTGTATTAGAAGCCACTTAGCACTACGGAATATACATACCGCTATTACTCCTTGATTTACAGTTGTTTTACAGCCACTCATCGATTCAACGCGCGTTTCTTATGCAAGTTTCTCTAATACAATGGATATGTATGTATGTTTCGGAAGCGGCTCTACTTCGTACTTGCGTCGGGAGTTGACCTGAAAGGCTTCCGTTATCGTTGGCATCATTTTGAAGACGAATGACTGTATCAGCTAGAAATCTCAGCGATTCGGCTGGTTGATATTCATCCCGGTTAGCGACGGACTTGTTATATAGTGCATAAACGTTCGTCTATTGATGTTACTTGGATTGGGTGTGTAAGTTATGAAAGATTTTATTAGTAAATTACTATATGAGGCAGATGGCATATCTATGTCCTCAAGTGCAAGCGTGCTACAGCATATACTCCGCTTATATCAACAAATCAATACTTTCAAAGCACCCAAAATATACCATTTCAAGTATGTGTTGTGGCACGCTCGCACCTGAAAGCATAAGAGATAAAGAAGTTCAAATCGAGGCTTTACAATTTGACCCATGACCATCAGGGTCGATCCCAAAAGCCCACTTATTATACATTTTACCTCGGCAAATATTCTATTAGTGGAGATACGCCAAAATATTGCCGTACATTCTTTATGTTAGGCGGGGTATTCAACTCGATCTTCTAGGTGGTTGCAAGTAAAAGACAAGTAAACAAGTATTCTCATACTTTCGAATTTTAAGAATTCTAATGCTTGGAAAACAAAACCAGTTTCGTTAAAGGGTAAAAACAACGGCAAGCTTTGAGGTCAATGAGTTTTCGTTGGGAGCCTCAAAAGGTCCAGAAAATCTCCTTCCGACCTTCCTAATAAAGCATTAGCGTATATCAATCCGCAATGATACCCGGATGTTAACAGGTTGGGTTCTTTAAATTAATAACTAACAATTACAGTTTTCTTTCTTTTTTATTTATTTATGATAGAAGCGATTGGGACTTCTCTAAGAAGCGGAATAATGCTACAATTAACTTATGGATTATACTGGAGATGTAAGTGCTAACATGTAGGAAGATAGGGGAGATATTTCGACATTCAGCATCGGCTACGACTTCGGCTTCTTCTACCGATGTTCGTCGGGAACGGAAAGATGATGTGATCCTCTAAAAGCAAGGGACTTTGCCCCTAACGTGCATATCAACATACGCTGCCCAATCTGACGGGCCACTCATGCATGTACTGACAAGGTTGCCACGAAATATAGACCTATGGGAAGCTAGGAGCGCACAAGGTGATAAAGATGATATCTTGCCTTTCCGCCTCCCATGCGCATGCAGAACATCACACAGCGGTGCGCTCTGGCAGGGGTAGCTACCCAGGTAGCCAACTTTACAGCCTTGTACATTGAGCTTCTTTATTCCTGAGGGGTTTATTAATCAGTTCGGCGTAGTATACCTAGGCAAAATTACGAAAATAGGCCGGTGGTAGGACTTTGTACCCAGATACTACCTCCTGGTTGTTCCCAATTCATCCTAACTGTAAATAATTCTTTTTTTCTTTTCACCCATATCTTGCCATTGACAAGTTTAAAATTCATATGTTTAAGCCCTTGGGCTATTACTCTATAGATTGTCCCGTCCTCAATTGCTAGTCTTAGGAGTCTTGACCGACTTTACCCCGGTTGGTTTCCGCAGGAAGTTGGCGTAAAGATTACTGCAGACCGCTCCTAGCTGCTTTTCTTCCGCGCGGCCACCCGCTTGCTACATCAGTGATGGCAGGTCGTGAAGATACAGAAAACGGGCTTGGCGAGGACAAGAGAGAACCTGAGCGTATAGAAAAGCATAAGATGGAATCGCGCGAGGACTCAATTGAGGAGAAGCAAAGCCGGCATAGGCGTCTAAGCCGCTCGAGCCGCGCATCGAATGCCTCCGACGATACGGATCCATTGTCGCCGTTGGAGTTAGCAATCTCACCTGGAATACAAGTCTTCGAAGAGGTCGCTCGTGTACGTACGGCGACTAGCGTCGGCACCTCGGCGTCGCGGCTCCCAGATTATGAAGTTGCATTTGAGGAGAACGATCCGGAAAACCCTCGATACTGGCCTTTATGGTACCGGTCGGTATGTAATACCTATTTCGATGGCTTTCCCCTTCCACCCTATCCTAAATCTATTTACTAAAAGAAGTGACTGCTAACTCGTTATTGCAGTTTGTTATCTTCGCTATTAGTTTTTCGTCATGGGTAATCGTGCTTTACAGCACTAGTTACACGGCATCAACCCCTGGTTTGGTAGAAGAGTTTGATTCTTCCACCACCATAGTGACCCTCGGCGTTACCACTTATATGTTCGGTCTTGCGACAGGTAGTCTGCTCGTAGCACCTGCAAGTGAGCTCTATGGACGTAGGCCGGTGTATATCGTTTGCTTGATCTGTTTCGCGGCCATGGTAATTCCAACCTGTCTGGCAACCTCGCTAGCCGAGATTCTCGTGGTCCGATTCTTCGCGTAAGTGGCCAATCCCTGGATTTCCCTGAGGAAAGTACTGACCTAAACGCTAGGGCGATGTTCGGGAGCGCGATGATAGCTAACAGTCCAGGAACTGTTGTGGACATCTCGACAGAAGAAACTCGCGCCTTATTCATGTCGTTATATTCAACCGCCCCATTAAACGGACCGGTGTATGAAACCTTATCTTATTACTTTTCCAGGAGGGGAAGAGAAAGCTAACTTTGACGTAGGCTGGGCCCTGTGATCGGCGGCTACGTTTTCCAATACCTAGGATGGAGATGGGACAACTGGCTCGTTCTTATACTTGCCGGGGTCGGCATTTTCCTCATGCTCTTCACCAAGGAGACATATGCTCCTATAATTCTCCAAAAGAGAGCAGCCAAAATGCGTAAGGAGACCGACGACGAAAGATGGTGGTGTCGGTACGACCAGAAGCTGTCCAAGGCGGCACTTGTAAAGATTTGTCTGTTAAGACCCTTCGAATTTTTTATCAAAGAACCAATCCTATGGTTTTTCAATGTCTGGTATGTATATCTTACCTATCTTGAGATCGCGCGTATCAAGGAGTTTAGTTTAAGTGTTTGTTACTTCGAACTTGTTACCTCGAACTCCAGCCCTATTTATGGCTCCTATTTATGCCGTGTAACTGAAATCCCCATATAAAAAGCTATTTTTGGCTTGCCACGTGACCTCGTGGCACTGGCCTTAACGCAAGCGCGAGCTAAATCTGTGGGGATCTTGGTACGTACCGAAACTTAGGTCTACGAAGTACAACTTTTACACCTACAACAACCAACAACTTCAAGTAGAATCCTTTCTTCCAAGATACACGGAGGATGTTGCATATATCCCTTTATAAGAAGATGGAAAATCATCTAGGGGGGACGTTATCTCTGTCCTGCTAACCTTTTATTGTAGGATCTCTTTAATCTACGGAATTCTCTACCTCTGCTTCGTCGCTTATCCTATCGTATTCTCCCAACACCGTGGCTGGGGTCCAGGCACTTCTGGTCTTGCATTTATTGGGATTGGTATCGGTTGTACGTTCGCGATTGTCGCCGAACCTTTATGGCGCAAAATTATCAACTCTCATCCCAAGGATCCCGCTACTGGGCGTGCACCTCCTGAAGCGACTGCGCGTGTTATGATTATTGGTGCGATACTTGTTCCCATCGGCCAGCTCGTCTTCAGTTGGACATGTCTACCTACGACCATTCATTGGGCTATTCCTATCGCCTTTGGTATTCCATTTGGTGCAGGCAACACGCTAAGCTTTATCTATGGCTCTAACTACCTAGCTGGCGCGTATGGTATCTACGCCGCATCTGCATTAGCAGGTAATGCCGTAACTCGTAGTATATTTGGTGGTACCCTGCCTCTCGCTGGACCCTCCATGTATGCAAAGCTTACTCCGCAGTGGGCTGGTACGCTCCTAGGTCTATTAGAAGCGGCCATGATTCCTATCCCCATCATCTTTTATCGATACGGCGAAAAGATCCGCTCCAAGAGTACCATTATCCGACAGATGCGTGAGGACCAGGAGAAGAACGAACGACGGCTCGCAAGGGCAAAGAAACATGGAGAGAGACTTGAAGCTGATGAGAATAGTGACGCGCCAGCTCTAATGAAAGAGGCTGGTGAAACTCCGGAAGACCTGGAGAAGGGCGCTATCAGGCCAGCCGCTACGGTTACGTCGGCCTAGTTGGTATACGAGCCTCCTGTGCGGCAACACATAATCCTATGATTACATAACATACCTTCAACATATATATATCTGGAACGCGTAATATGAGTTATATGGCGACTACGGAGACGAATTAAGAAACTTACGCGTTGAGAACCTTTTACGGAATTGGGATGGGAATATAGAGTAGACGACTTCCAGGTGTCCTAAAAGGCTGTAATTCTTTACTACGAGTGTAGGCATATATCATACTTAGGTATATCTACGAGTGATAGTTAGATCTAACACTATTAGTTTTAATATAATAACAAATAGACTTGCCCGGCGCCTGGGATATCCAGCATACCTTCAAGGCCAGGATTCTAACTCTCTGGGGGATAAACGACGATCTTATCAAGATCGGCACCCTTGTATTGAAACCCGTTGTACAAACCGCCCACCGTGATAGTGTTATTCGAACCCTCCTCCAGAGTCAGCTGGAGCGGCGTCGACAGGATGATTCCCTTGTGTGTATCCCTCTGGTACAGTGTCTCGACGTTCTCCGTCTTTCCGTTCACAACAACGCTAGAAATGCGGCGGAGCTGCCATGAGCCACCAATTCGATCTGGCGAGCCGCCGGCTGTTAAGAAGTTTATTAGTAGTTGAATGGCCGTGGCGATAAAGTCATAAACTTACGTTGATCTCCGAAGCCCATGTCGTCGGTGTCTTTGTCTCTGTTAGAATATGACCGTAACTTGATGTTGACATGGGATACTAACTCTGGTAGTAGAACGAAACCCATTGAGGCTTTCCTGTTCCCTCTATACCCTGAAAGGTGACTGTGCTGTCGTTGCCTTCGATCCCTGTCAAGATAACTCCGTCGGTGGCGAAGTTCTACAATACACACGAACATCAATCAAACTGCAACACCCCCTGAATATTATAAACTTACAGCTTCTTGCTTGAAAGCGTTTCCACTTGTTGTTGCATCTTTGGCAGAATATGTGGTCCCATCCACTGGCTGCCAGTTTCCAGTTTTTCTGAAATCATACGTTAGGATTCATCTGCGTAGGAGCGAGACCGACTAGCACGTACACATCTAGATCGTAAACATCGTGCCATTCCAGCTGAAGGGTCTTCTTGTCATCGTCGATGTTAATAGGTAGCCATATATATCGAGATTCCCAAAGCGAGTTAGAATCCCACTACAACCCGTTAGTTTTACTTTCTCGGAATACTCCTTATAGAGAAGCGACTCACCTGGTCGCCCAAGTATAAATATGTCGTCTTCTCGGTTCCTACTATTCTCAACGTAAAGCCGGACTGTGAGTTGAAAGTACGCGTGTTAAGCGGCGCGACAATCCAGGGCTGGGACCAGGGGCCACTCAAGCTGTCTGCTCGAAAGGCAACGACGTCTAAAGACGCAATTAGTACACCCTGGTATTATAAATAGGCCTCTAATACTAATCACGCGATACGTAGGGGGTATGGCATGATATTAGGATAGGCTGAGCGATTTACTCACTGTTGGGTCTGTATCCCGTTTTGTGACTTAATAAGGCATAATAAGAATGCTCGGTCTGTACGATAGAAGGAGCCTCAAGATCGAACTTATCGAAGCGGTGAACCACCTCTTCAAGCGTCGTGATTTCCTTATTGTACGAAGCTAGATACACGTCTCGGCCCTCTGAACTGTCACCGTTCGAGTAGAGGGCGTACGTTTTGCCGTCTTTGTAGTCGGTAAACATCCCAAAGTCCTGAGACCAATTACCCAAAGGAGCTTGGGCACTGACGAATGTATAGGGTCCGCCGATTGTATCTGAAACTGCGAGTCCTTGTAGTAGACGCCCGTACGTAGCATTGTCGGCGTGCCACCACATCTAACATATTATATTAGTACTGACGAGTATGTCTAATGTGTTAAGGGTAACCTACGTGATACTGGCTTGTCGACTCACTATACACAACCTTGGGCCGCTGGATAATGTTCTTAGGCGAGATAAAGGGGTGCCAGGAGATAGGTTCTATTGTTTTAATTAGAAACCCCCCTTTTATGAAAATATTCCTGAGATTAAATGCGACTTACCTAAAGCCAGACCATGAGAAGTCCAAGTAGCTAAATCTTCAGAGCTGTAAACCGAAACACCACCACCCTCTTCCTGTCCCTCGACCTTGTACTCTCCAAAGAGCCAGAATGTGCCATTCTCCAAGACGACGTTGCCCGCATGGGCATTGACCAGGTTATTTTCCGTATCTCGCCATCTCGCTCCGGGCACAATATACTTTGCCTGTGCTGCAACTGCACTGAGGAGCAATAACCTGCTAGAGAGGCGCATATCTAGGCCAAACATCTTTCACCGTGGACTGCAAATCCGAGCGTATGTGCAATACCGGTCTGATAATCTCCATGCGCGCCATCTCAACCACCCAAGGCTTATAAGTAGTTTATAGGTCTTCTGCCAAGAGAGACCTTCGTGTTAATTAACCCCGCAACACCGATTGCATTTCTCCGCATCGCTATATTAACCCCCGTTATAATCATCTCATCGACTGGGGTAATGAGGAGAATGACTTGTTTGGGGTAGTGAAATCCGCCGCCCCCATGTCATTTAATAAAGAAAAGTCAATATTTCTCCAAATTCCAAGGCTTGGAAGAGCACTTGGTATATGCTCTTGGCCTAGGAGGTTAACAATAGCAGTTCAATCTCTTTTCTCTTCTTTTTCCGCATACTTAGTTATCCAATTCTTGATCTATTGGGGCTCTCTCCCATCTTATTTGATTATAGAGGTTAATAGTTAAAACGTCTTTTACTATATTGAGTAAAATAGCCTGAAATAGCTTGGAGCACTCTTAACTATTTCAAATTAGCGTACTGAATACTACGATACATATACTGTAACTGATTAGCAAAAGAGTGGCTAGTAATATCGGGGTAGATACAGCTATTTAGGCTAACGAGCGGTAATGACTACCGTTAGGCGTTTGGGCGCTCACTACGGAGTAGAATGTACCTAGAGCATTTGAAAGGTAGCAAAAATATATTATAAGTAAAATCTGGGAGCTCTAGACCTCTAGAATGTGACTTTGGAACCGTTACACCACTATATGAGCGTATGAGCATATGTGTGACAGTGATGTAGCGATCGATGACTACTTATGTATAGGAACCTGCGTGGGTGAGCTTCGCATGAACCACTCCAACTAGATACACGACAACTTAGCATATAGTTAATTGTTAATTCGCTCGCTTGATTACTTATTCTCTAAACCAATAAAGTAAAAGGGTTCTACTCTCTATTAACCCTAATCCTTTCGAAGGGTAAAACGACTGACAAGTTCGGCGAGCAAATCAATCACTAATTCGGATTCGACAGCTCCATCGTGTCAGCGTCGAGCCTAGCTTTTCCAGTCCGAATCATCTCCACGCCAGGGACGGAAGAATGCTTTTCGCCCTCAAACAAGGTGTCTATTTCTTCTAGTGTCTTGCCCTTCGTTTCGACCCAGAATACCGCCTTAACACAGTGAAGGGAGATGTTAGCGACATAAATTACTGAAATGCTGTAGAGGTAATCAAGTACTCACGATAAGTATAGCGATAACAATATCCCAAGAACCGTTAATCATGTACATCTTCCATCCGATATTATCTAGGCCGATGGGCATGATGAATACGAACACACATCTAATAATATTATTAGTATTCAAGTGCACATTTTAGTTGAGAGCTAGAGACTTACGCAAGTGCGTTCAAAGAGAGCGTCGAGGCAGCCAGACCATTGGACCTAATGGAGTACTATCGTATATTATTAGCAAATTGAGTGTGACCTCTGGAAATTCTCTTTAAATTCCGCCTAATATAAAGAGGAAGAAGACACGAGAAGATGTATTAACGAACTATAGATGTATCAGCGCTTATCTTATAAAATATAACGGATGAGTGGTGTCAAGATCACAATTACGTACCCGAAAAGACCTCTGGAGGATAAAGGTAAAGCAATGGTGTCCAAGCCACGGAGTAAAATCCCTGGAATAGGAACATCACCGCAACATTTCCATATACGAGACTTTGAGAAGCGTCTGCGGGGTTGTGGGCATACATCTTAGAAAGCCCTCCGATTACGAAGAGGCATATAACGAGGAGTGTTTCCGAAACGAGGGCCGTGGGCTTTCGGCCCCATTGAGACACCATGTGCGTACCGACCAAGGCACACAGAAGGCACCAGACATTTAATACGACATTCTGTCTGATGTAAGCGAGTTTTCATACTCGGTAGATATAAGTATAGTCTCACAGCCTTCAACTGGTCCGTTGAGTCGGTAATTCCGGCGGTCTGAAGCTCGGCACCTAAATAGTACGAGGCGATAATGTTGCCAGCGACACATGAGAAGGGGGCAGCAGACATTCCGATGAGTAATCGTTTTCTCGTGACAGGGGTTTTGATAATCTCCTTTGGACTCATTGATCGGCCTTCTTTCTTCTCCCACTCGAGGGTGTCGAGAATCTCCTTATACACTGCGATAGCGACGGGATCTAGCATATCACCATTGGTATTTGTTTGCGCTACAGAAATCCGCGCGTCCTCAAAATAGCCTTGGTGGCAAAGCCATCTAGGCGATTCGGGGCTATTCGATTAGTTAGGGTAGGTAGAATGAGGTTTCGTTAGAGGGAGAAGCTTACACGAAAGGTAATATGATGATGCAAAAAAGCGAAAAAACACCCTGTATTAAGGATGGTAGCCGCCATGCCCACTCAACATATTATTAGCCGGGCAGTTCAATTCATGACTTAGACCAATACTCTTACTGTTGATTGCCATTGCCCAGTCCCTAGAGTAACTCCGGATGCTATTAGTGCTCCTACGCTGTTAAAAAAAATCTTAGTTAGTTCCGGAGCTGCACTATTATTGTTATGACTTCTGTCAATTGGGCTCTTACTAAAAGAAATTGTTCATCATTCCGAGCCCCCAGGCACGTAAGCGGCTAGGAAAGGTCTCGGATAGGAATACGCCGGAAGACACGCCCGAAAGAGAACCTCCAAAACCCAGAATAATCCGAGCGATGACGAACATGGCGATATTCTGGGCTGCCGCCTGAATAACCGTACCGATCAGAGTAATGACGGACGCCCAAAACATGGCTGGACGCCGGCCGAGTCTATCGGTCATGATACCGGAGATGAGCGTGCCGAGAATGCCGCCGATGAATACAGAAGCCGTATTCAGACCCGTTGTAGCAGGTGTTAGTTGGAAGTAATCCGTATACGAGGGCAAAATATTCAATCCGTTAAGCATGGAGCCGTCATATCCATTGGTCTATTCGTGAGGGAATATCCGCAATGATTAGTAAATTAGCCTCAACACCGGGTATGATACTTACGGTTGACTGTGTTATTGAACAAAATATTAACAAGGAGGAGAGGCATGCTGATGACTCTGGCACGAAAGCTCCTAGCCATGTTCCAGTTCGCGTTCGCTTGAACATCGTGATGTCAACCCGGCCTTTTCCTACCGATAAAGTCGCTGGAAGAAGAAGATATGGCTACCGAATTGAGTATCCTAAGGGAAAGAGAGATAAAGATCACAGTAAGATGTTATATAAACATTATATGCGATCTATCCACCTGAGGTTACAATTCATTCGCGGGTAAGCACAGTATGCCAAGTAAGCTCGCCGCTTATGAGCAATAAGGAGACAGGCGACGCGACAAACCTATCGTCAAGAATAATAAACTTAGTTGACCAATCTAATATCCCGTAAGATACTTTATTCTATTCAATAAGGGTTCACGGACCGCATAAAGGGCTGAGTTTGGGTCATAGGGATACACACGCGACTGTGGTTGAGGAGACGATGCAACAACAGATTCCCCACGGTGATCAAGATAAGCCTCAGGAGATAGATAATGATATCTGCTCAACCAATCGATAATTCGGGAGTTGTGTCTCTCTACAAGCAAGGCGTCTGATAAAAAACGCCATTGGTTGCACTGAAAGGTGAAGTTGCAATATCTAACCCTCACGTATTCGTACCCAGTCCTATTCAAGCCAGTCATTAATTACTAAACTTAGATAGCCCGCTCTACTGATGTAGATTAGGTATATAGATAGCTTTAGATATACGGCTTATTGCTAACATAGTAGTTGACCCAGCAATTGGCTTAGTTATTGGATCCTGCCATGTACCTAAGGTACATGCGGTTGCTTTGGTATACGTTACTATGAGGCACTGCATATATCAGCTGTTAATTAGGTCGCATCACGTAAGTAGAGCGGCTTTTCAACTTTTGGTGCGTAGTCGTATTCTCAGCTAATATGTAAGGGATAATCAAGTGGCTCATACACAGTACTTATTGAAATTACCCCGTCACCACGTATTTGGTAAGATAATTCAGCTATAGTATGTAACGTACCGCTCATTGAACGCTTCAAGTAACACCTCTTACGTACCTACCCACCTAGGTACCTAAATTGATATTGTTATCTTAGGTACCGCAACAACTACTTAATCTAACGTTAGCATATAGAGCTTTGCTATTAAAAGTATTCTGGTTTGTATTAAAGTGAAAATGGGGCGCTACGTCTATGCGGTGATTTTGTACTCAATATGTAACAGTTGTTGTTTCGGCGTATCTGGACTACAATACTCAGCTGGTTGGTATACTACATCTATAAAACATTAATGGAATAACTTTAACACAATGAAGCTCTTTTCGTTATAGCCCTTCATAAAGCCAAACACAATAAGCTAAGTAATATCAATTGAACACATATAGAGCTTAAGTTGACAAGATATTATGTAACTACCTTGGGAGGTAGTTACTTGAATAACTGGGGCCCTTATTTACTACTTCTTGTTTCAACTACTGATGGGTAAATATAACTAGATTGATATGGTCCGGAAAAGATAAGTATAAGACAGGCCGGTATGAGTCACTCGTTAAACACGCAGACGAAGCCCAGATCCACTACCTTCAATTGAGATGCTAACTATTAGCACAGCCACGGCGACTCGACTACGGGTCCCGAGGCCGCTGGGCAGGAACACGGCACGGGCAGACCCCGTGAATAATCCCGTTCTTTTGATCTCCGTATCGTTACATGCCGGAGTTATTACGTAAAGATTCCAACCGGGCGCTACGCCTCACTTCTCCGTAGTTCTCTCCACTTATTCCAATCTTTAAATACCACGGCAGATAGTAACTTTAAGGACACAGTAAAAATTGATTAAAAACATAGTAACACCCACTTTTACGTGAGATAACCCCCGGGGCCCTCGTTTACTTAATTTTTATTAAGATTAATTTAATCTTTTAATAAATATATAATTTTACCCGGTCGTATCGTAAAGCCATTTATTTAATTAAATTTATTACTTATATTTAATTAAATTAAATAAATAAAAAAACCTATTTATTTGTAATTAAATGTAATTTATATTTATAAACTTTTAAATTAATTTTTTTTTAATTATTTAACTTTATATAATTATATATAATACGTAACTTTTTAATTATTTATTATTATTACGGTTTTAATAAACTTTATATATTTAATTAAAATAATAATATAAAAGTTAAAACTATTAATTTAATTAATTAAATTAATTTAATTATTAATTTTAATATATTTAAAGTTTTATAAGTTTTTATAAAAATATAATAAATATTTATTATTATTAAAATATAAGTTATTAAATTTATTAAAAAAGCTTTAAAAGTTATTATTAATAACTTTATATATTTTATAATTTATAAAAGTTAAATGTGATATTAAGTTTTATTAATATTAACGTTAAAAATGAAAATATTATATATTATTACGTATATTATTATTAAAACGGTTATATTAACGCCGTTATTAAAGTTATTAAATATTAATTTATTATATTTAATTAATTTTATTAATTTTAAATTAACATAATTAAATTAATAATAATAACCTTTTATTTATTAACTTTTAATTTACATTATTAACATTAAATAAACTTTATATTTAAAATTAAAATTTTATTATATAAAAGTATTTAACGGTTATTATAATTAATTTACTTTAAAAATTAATTATAAAATTTTAAAATTATATTAAATTTATATTTATTAAAGTTAATAAAAGCAATTTTATTTAAATTTTATTATAACGTTTTAAAAAAAGCAACACTAGTCGTGCAATATGCCCATTGCTACCCGTGCAGTATGCGGGGATACGTACCGGGTAGCCTTAAATCGCTCCTCGCATCCCTTTTAACGTTTACTTTAATAACTTTACGAATTCTGGTCCAAACTTTATATAATTTATACCGTAATTTGAATAAAGAAATTAGCAAAATTACGGTCCAGGGTGCACGTGATTCGGACCAGTATTGGTCCGGATGCGGCTGAAAGTATGAGTTTTAACTATAGTGGCTGTTACAAGGCTCCTTTTAGTGGCTTTTATCCCCTGTAATCCCAACACCTTTCAACCTCAATAACTTTACCAATATAGCTCGGATAAATTTCGAAAAAGCTTTGATATTTAGATAACTAAATAGGCAATATTATAAAACAAAGCCCGGATTTTTACCAATTTATTTGGTAAAGATACGGCTATATTTATAAAATACGCTACTGAAAACTAGTAGGTACTAGTAAAAAAGTCACTTTGTATACACAAATCCTTACTCTTTTAATATCTCAGTCAATTCGGGGCCGGATCACGTGCACGCTGGACCATAATTTTCGTCATTTTCTTATGTAAATTTTGATGTAATTTATATATAATTCGGACTAGGATTCGTAAAGTTATTAAAGGAAACGTTGAAAGGGTGGGAAAAAAACGAGGTACGTACCCCGTTTTACTGCACGGGTAGCAATGGGCATACTACACGACTAATGTTACTCTTTAAAAAATAAACTTTTAAAACTAGAGGCCTCCCCGAGGGGCGGCACAATCCTTAAGTTTACTGATAAGGTTTTATCTTATAAGCCAAGCCAAGCAATTGACTTGATTGGTTAAATCCCGTGAGGCCGTAATAGCCGCTTAACCTCGCCGCGCGAAAGGTCACGGGCACTCGGCACGTGCTTCGCACGTGCCTCGCACCCGTGACCCCCCGCGCGGCTCGGTAATTATATAAATTATTAATAATTTTAAAAATATAATAAAAA